GTGCGGCGCCGCGTGCATCTGTGCAGCAATGCGGCGTGTCTTTCGACTCTTTTATGACGCTCGAACCCCAGCAGGTTTGTGGTAAACGGCAGCCTCACACAGAATTGCATGTGGCGGACAATACTGTCCCAGCTTGAAGGCGAACCCGATGACGTTTCTCCATCTGATGTCATAGAACGTCATGGAAGTGGATCATTGCACGCTCTCGCCGTGTGTAATTCCCAGCGAAGCGAGGCTGGAATAGTCCACTGCTCACAACGGAACCGGCGATGTAGTGCTGTGCAGGGCGGGTGGCCGCTGGACAGCCGCTGGTCCTACATCGGCAGACGAATCGTCTTGCGGAATGACATTGGCACGCGGAGTGGCACCGTCCCACTCCAGTGCACTTCTCCGTACCGCGGTGCCAGGCGTGCAGTGTGTCCGCGGGAGATCGCCGCTCGTTAAACTAGAGCCGGCCGCTGCCACCTGCCCTGTCGGGGCCCTGCTGCCCTGTCGGGGCTCTGCTGCCAGCTGAGCCGCTGCCGGCTTTCCTGTAAGGGCCCTGCTGCTCTGTCGGGGTTTTGCTGCCAGCTGGGCCGCTGCCGGCTTTCCTGTAGGGGCCCTGCTGCTCTGTCGGGGCTCAGCTGCCAGCTGAGCTGCTGCCGGCTTTCCTGTCGGGGCCGTGCTGCTCTGTCGAAGCTCTGCTGCCAGCTGAGCTGCTGCCGGCTTTCCTGTCGGGGCCGTGCTGCTCTGTCGGGGCTCTGCTGCCAGCTGAGCTGCTGCCGGCTTTCCTGTCGGGGCTCTGCTGCCGGTTGCCCCGTCGGGGCTCTGCTGTCCTGTCGGGGCTCTGCTGTCCTGTCGGGGCTCTGCTGTCCTGTCGGGGCTCTGCTGTCCTGTCGGGGCTCTGCTGTCCTGTCGGGGCTCTGCTGTCCTGTCGGGGCTCTGCTGTCCTGTCGGGGCTGTACTGCCGGATGGCCTGTCAAGGCTCTGCTACCGGCTGAGCCGATGCCGGCTTTCCTGTCGGGCTCTGCTGCCTGTATCTTGGCCGGATTAGCTGGAATGTAGGCGGTGCTTTAAGTTCCGGCATTCGATCGCGTCCGGCTGGTCGCCAGTGTGAGAGCCGGTACTGCTGCTGGGTAGGAAGCACTCGCCCTCCCCCCCCCCCCCCCCCCAACCGGTTTCGCTTGAACATGGCTGTGCACTGTGCCCGTCCTCGATTTCAGTTTGTTTGAGCGTCTGCTCTTTGGTTCATCCATCCGTGGCGGGGTGGGTTCGAGTCGTTTGCCACTTGCCCTTGACTGGAAAAGCATGCGACAGGTGGCAGCTGGCGTGCCAAAGGTCGGGCGACGCCAGAGAGCAGGCCGGACCCTGTCCAGCATCGCAGAACGTTAAGCCTTCGCCGAAAAGGCTGCTCCTGACCCAATATTTCATGATGGAAGGATGACACAAAAGCTTACGTAACAAGCACGGCTAAGCTTGGGCGCTGATCCCTTAAGTCCATCCAATGAAAAGGCTTGTACCAGATCTTAAATCGCCTCCCTTGGACTTGCAGCGAACGCTCACCGCTCTCTTGACAACACCTCTGGTAGTTGGCACGGCTACCAGCTGAGCAGTGGAGATCGCGACGACGCGAGAAACCGACCGCGAGCAGTCCAGTCCAGTCCAGTCCAGGTGAATGACCGGCGTCCCCCCCATCGGGGCAACGGGAGCGAGGAGACCAGTTTCTGGCGCCTCGGTGTGAGCCACACTTGCGGGACACACGCGGACGAAGCGGCGGCGTGACCGGGGTGTATGCTCACTCACTGCCCGCCGGCATCGGCGCCTTGAAGCTGCTCGCCTGCGCTTCTCGGGCGACGAGGATCGCGTGATCAGTGCCAAAGGCGCTTAGTCGTTCAGACAGCCCTTGTTTTTTAAAATAAAAAGGTAGTTGGGAAGCTGTGCGGAACGGCCGTTCGAGGTTCAGGTACCAACCTCTTGAGTGGTCGGCCTCTGGCACAAGCTGAGCTGGAGTGGTTTAGCTCCAGCGTGTTGGACCTGCTGGCATACTTGACCTTGCGTACCAGCCTCATCTGAGGGGATCCTGAGGGGGTGGGGCGTCAGGCGGAAGGCATGTCCCGGGTGTGACCCGGCGTGTCCTCTGTTGCGCCGGCGCCGCTGGGCGGCGCGGGCCCGCGTCAGCTGGCGCTGTCCGCCGGCGCCGCTGGGCGGCGCGGGCCCGTGTTAGTTGTTGCTGTCCGCCGGCGCTACCGGGCGGCGCGGGCCCGCGTCAGCTGGCGCTGTCCGCCGGCCCTGCTCGCCTGCTGCGGCTGCCGCCGCAGGGCGCCGAAGGCAGCCCATTCTGCGGCGGTGCGGACATATCACGGGTCATAATCAAACCCGACTGCATCGTACAAACGACGTTTTATAGCTCGGATTTGTGCAAAGAGCCCTCGGGTTGTGCGTCTATGCATGGAATGCCGTGCATGTCGGCGGACGTGGGCTGCGGGCGCAAAGCGGTCAGCGCATTCATCGCGCCGCCAATCCCGGATAAAGAGCGGACCGTTGCACTGTTGCACTGGTGACGTCACCGTGCCGTGATCACAATCCAGTGATCTCGCTCCTCGGTTTCGGTTGCGCCGTTGACATCATCAGCCCAGCGTCGACTGTTGTTACGTATGTACCTGGAACTGAACGTCCGCGTCTCCACTCAGAATCGCTGCGTGACGGGTTCCCGCCCTGGGTTTTTACCGGCGGTGCTGGAGGGAGCGGCCTCACGAGCTGTGCAATAGGGATACGATGTTGCGACTGCGGCCGCCGGTTTTTATTGGCAGTGTTGGAGTGAGCGGTTCAGCGGCTTGACTAAACGGGAAGCGAGGTTTCGAAGTGACGTTGCCAAGTTAAAGCCGGCGATACCAGGACTTCTCTGAGCTGGCGATGTCTGGAATCTGCCAGTGACTAGTAGGAAATGTGGCGTGTGTCGAGTGCTTCGAAGGCTGGTAGGCCAGCTAGCGCCCAACGCACCCGAACTAGTATCGGTACCGCGCTTGCAGCAAACCTTGCCCATGTGCCGCGCGGTGAGTGGGCTGTGGTGACCTTCCCCGTCACCGTCGGCGGCCGCCACGCCGTCTGGCCCCACCCGCCGGCGCGCTGGCGGATGGAGCCAAACGGCGGGTGGGGCGCACCGCGCAGCTGCGGCGGTGCGGCGCGGGGCGCGAGGGAGCGTCGTTGCTTACCAGCGGCGGCAGCGGCGGGGCGGCGGGCGCCCCCGACGCCATGCGGCCAGTGAGCCGGGCCGAGCTGGGGGAGGGGGGGGGGGGAACAGAGCATCGGTCCGGGGTTTTTAACGGCCGCGGTTCGTCGGCTGTCTGGCCGGCACGATCGCGACCGTCAGCGTAGTTGGATGATGACGCTGAGGTATGTGAGGCAAACATCAAGCTGAATGAGCGCCATATGACCCGCGCGGTCGCCGCGCCCTGAAGCTCAAACCACCACGACCACCGCCATCACCATTATCATCATCATCATCATCATCATCATTGACATAATCGTCGTCGTCATCATCCCCATGCCACCATCACCATCATCATCATCATCATCATCATCATCATCATACAGCAACAGAGCGGCGGGTAGTTTTTGTTCTGGTATCGTGTGCCTGGCATGTTAGCCTTCTCTGCGAAATTCATCTCACAAATCGAAGATGACATATCATGCACATTATGGCATTTCCTACGCTTGCCGGCGGTGCATGGGCGGAAAAGTTCCGGGTACAAACGCTAGTACACATACGCCAACAGGTGATCTCAGCCGCGTATTGTTTGTCAGGTGATTTTATTGAAATCTTTTCGAGGACATGCAATGATGTAGTTGTAAATGGACCTACTTGACCTCTGGTATGTGTTGTTTCTCCCTCTGCCGTCAAAAGCATTGCCGTGTGGACGGGGCACCGCCAGTAAAATTATGCTTCTGCAAAAAGTTTACATTGCATTGGTAAACATATTTTGCCTCACATCCTGCATTTGGCTGCCTTTTACCGCATGATGTTGTGCCACTATTTATTCAGAGAAAAGTACATTATCACGTTGCGCCCTGAGTGGCAATGTCCATGAATTCCGCGGGGCAAAGTATGTCTAGTTCTCCCACATGACCCGCCCGGTAATGTCGTGATAGTGTTGGACGCACCCACCCTAGTCTGGTCACGACTCCCCGTTCCCCCAGCTGCTGCGGTCTGACCCGTTCCTGGCTCCTCCCAGCTGCGGTGGGCTGACACGTGTCTGCCCCCCCCCCAACCCCCAGTTGCTGCGGTCTGGCCCGTCCTTTGCCCCCCCCCCCCAGCTGCGGTGGGCTGGCACGTGTCTTGCCCCCCCCCCCCAACCTCCAGCTGCTGCGGTCTGACCCGTCTCTTGCTCCGCCAGCCTCGGTGGTGTGTCCGACCGGCTGACTCCTCGCTCCCCCCCCCCCCCCCCAGCTGCGGTGGTGTGTCTGACCGGCTGACTCCTCGCTCCCCCCCCCCCCCAGCTGCGGTGGGCTGGCACGTGTCTTGCCCCCCCCCCCCCAACCTCCAGCTGCTGCGGTCTGACCCGTCTCTTGCTCCGCCAGCCTCGGTGGTGTGTCTGACCGGCTGACTCCTCGCCCCGCCAGCTGCGGTGGTGTGTATGATCGGCTGACTCCTCGCCCCGCCAGCTGCGGTGGTGTGTCTGACCGGCTGACTCCTCGCCCCCCCCCCCCCCCCAGCTGCGGTGGTGTGTCTGACCGGCTGACTCCTCGCTCCTCCCAGCTGCGGTGGTGTGTCTGACCGGCTGACTCCTCGCCCCGCCAGCTGCGGTGGTGTGTATGATCGGCTGACTCCTCGCCCCGCCAGCTGCGGTGGTGTGTCTGACCGGCTGACTCCTCGCCCCCCCCCCCCCCCCCGCCAGCTGCGGTGGTGTGTCTGACCGGCTGACTCCTCGCTCCGCCAGCTGCGGTGGTGTGTCTGACCGGCTGACTCCTCGCCCCGCCAGCTGCCGTGGTGTGTCTGACCGGCTGACTCCTCGCTCCCCCAGCTGCTGGGCCTGCACAGCCAGACAGGCGCCGTGGCGTGGGCGGTGCCGGTGGCCGGCCTGGCGCCGCTGCCGGCCGAGGGCGTCGTGCTCGGCCTGCAGCGCGGCACGGCGCACTTCCCGCACGCGCCGGCGGCGGCGCTGCTGTCGCGCGGCACGCTCGTCACCTTCAACCCGATCACGGGCGGCGAGCTGGCCGTCCACCGGCTGGGCGCCGGCGTCAGCCAGGCCAGCCTCATGCAGCAGAGCGACGGCACACATCTGAAGGTGGGAGTGGCCTTGAACGGGCGTGGGGGTGAGGGGAGACGGGCGCGGGGGAGTAGGGGAGGCGGGCGGTACACATCTGAAGGTGGGAGTGGCCTCGAACGGGCGTGGGGATGAGGGGAGACGGGCGCGGGGGAGTAGGGGAGGCGGGCGGTACACATCTGAAGGTGGGAGTGGCCTCGAACGGGCGTGGGGAGGAGGGGAGACGGGCGCGGGGGAGGGGGGGGGGGGAGACGGGCGGAGGGGTCGAGGGGAGGCGGACGCAGGCGGGATGCGGGGATGTGCTGGGACGGGCGCCGCCTGTTTTAAGTTGAGGGATGGCAGGCGGGGGCAGCGGACCGCACTGTGGGTGGGGCGATGGAGGGTGGAACCCGTCGCAAAGGAGGGGAAGATGAGCCTTTAGGGGTCTGAGGCTGATGGAGAAGCCAGGGTTTGTTTCCGGGTTGAAAAGACGAATAAAGTTCAGCAGTTCGATCTTAAAATTGTGGCCAATGTTCTGTGGTAAGATCAGGTAGCTTCAGCTTGGATACCTCCAGAGCATGCAGGTATGTTTTCTGCCCAGATAGGTCAGGTGCTGGTCAGTATCATGACTAGAGAGTGATCTTGATTTGGGGTGACGAAGGGCACAACTCTAGCTCTAACTCTAACTCTACTCTAGATGTGAATTCCCGACCAGACCAGAATCACTGACCACGGAGCTTGAACGCCGGAATAAATTTACCCCACGTAAAGATGCGTTGGAGGTCGTAGTATGAAAGAGCATAGCGTCCGACCGTGACGGAATGGCGGGCGAAACCCAACCCAAGGTCAAGCGTGGTGGTGGTGGGTCAGGGACGAGGGCGGCAGGACCTCTGACCGTCGGACGGCGGCCGGCTGTAGGTCAGGGTGCGATGGGAGTGGCTTGGACAGGCATTCTTGAGGACGAACTGGCCTTTGTTCAAGCGTGGCCCGTCTTCCGTAGCTTTAGCTGGGATTGGTGTCTGAGTGAGGCAGTCGAGAGGCGCTTCAGCCAGGGACGCGGACAGTGGCGTTCAGTGCAGGTAGTAGACACAGTCGCGCCCGATGGGATAGCGGCGCTGAGGGCTACAGAAATCCCGCTGTTAGCTTAGAGGAAGCGGTGTGGCGCGGGTCAGCGGCTGTTGAATCGCTGCGGCGTTTCTGGTCTGTGGCGTGACGGGCGTGAGCGACTGTTCTGCGACGCCGTCTGGAGGAAGCCAGGCCTTCCCTCGCGGTCGCCCGGCTGCACTGGTGGGTGGATTGTGGGTCGGGGCTGGGGGAGGGGGAGCTCCGGCTCGGCCGTGGCCGACGCCCGGACGTTGCGGCCGCTCGCGCCTCAGGACTGAAGCGTCGCGACGCGCGCCGTGTCGTGTCGTGTCTTGTGCCGTGCCGTGCCGTGTCGTGCCGTACCGTGCCGTGCCGTGCCGTGCCGTGCCGTGCCGTGCCGTGCCGTGCCGTGCCGTGCCGTGCCGCACGCCCGCCGGTTGGAGAACACGGTCGCTGCGGGGCCGGGCCGCCGGCCTCCTGCCCGACCATTGGGCGGCGGCTTAGAGGAGGGGAGGAGAGGGGAGGTGAGGTGAGTTGAGGTGAGGGGTGCAGCTCTGCGGCCGGTGACGCGGCTCGGCCGGCCGGCGCGCCCGACTGCAGCTCTGAGACAGCGCTCGCCTTGCAGCGGTACGGCTTCCTGGCCACAGACCAGCTGGTGCACGTGCGACAGCCGACTATAGCCTTTGGGAGCCGGCTATAGCCTTTGGTCGTATGTGCCTGCTGGCAGCGTCGCTACGTTCACTGAGGTTTGCTGTCCTGGGCGGAGCGGAGCGGCGGCTGGCGTGCGGCACGTGCTGTGACGAGCCTGGCTACCCGGAGCTGTCCCGTCCGTTGAGGCGTGACCCTGACCGCCCCGAACGTTTGAGGGCTCGAGTGATCAGTCGGTTTAGTAATTGGTCAGTTTAGTGATAAGTCGGTTTAGTGATAGGTCAGTTCAGTGATCATTCGGTTTAGTGATCGGTCGGTTAAGTGATCGGTCGGTTAAGTGGTCGGTCGGTTTAGTGATCGGTCGGTTTAGTGATCGTTCTGTTCAGTTCGCACGCTGTTCGGCACGCCGGCCTGCGCCAGTGCGCGTAGTGGGCATATCTGCGAAGCGAACGATGTCGTGATCTTTGTCCGATTTGCCTGTCGGACGACTGTTTGATTGATTGATTCGTTCTCCGATTAAGACAAAATTTTGGCATCTTTCCGTCCGCGCATTCCTGTTTGGACCCTCGTTCCAGTTGTCACTTGACACCACGTTTTTAAGATGTAGTCCGAACATTTGAATGGGTGGATTTCTGGGATCGGAGCTCACGCTCTGCTGTGCTTGCTGTGTGACCGTCTACCATCCGCTGGTGAAATTCCATGTCGACGGCTGAATGTGATTTAACGTGCCTCAAGTTTAACGTGCCGCAACGCCCGGCACAGTCCGCCTTCCCTCGGACGTCCCCTGACCTTTGACTCGGCCGCTGTCCCCGGCCGCAGGTCATCCCAGGCAGTGACATAGCGAGCGCCTGAAGCGACTCGAGCCCACCCCGCCACGCACGGATGCACGGGAAGGCAGGCGCTCTAACCAACTGAGTTATGGGGACGGACGTGTTCGGGCGTGTGGTGGCTGGCTGATCTGCCGTCGCGGCGCGGTCTGGTCTGGCGGTCTGGTGCCGGTCTGTGTCAGCTGACGTAGCTGCTGTCGCCGTGCCCACAGCCTCTGGTCATGTTCGACACCGCCGGCGCGGTACACGTCTGGCCCGACAGTGCTGCCGCTCTCGTCAAGTCGCTGCACCAGAGGCTGTTCTTCTACACGGCAGATGTCGCCACCGGCATCATGCAGGGCTACGCCGTCACAGAGGTGGGATTTGGAGCGTGCTGACGTTACGGCCCAAATCGCAAGCGAATCCACGTGGGGCCCCGTTAAGTCGACTGCAGTGAACGGTCGCTCGTGGGCTCTGTGTGGGTTTTGTGATTTTTTACATGTTAGTGTTTGACACAGCCATCTACCCCGAGTTGAGTATTGATAATAGCACATTTGTTACGCACTATGCATTATTTGGTGACATATCGCCGCACAACAATTTGTAACACTAAACTGTTTGGCTCCTGTGACCGTTGGGACTATGCGCATGCATGCAGGCTGTTAAGTATCTGTTGGCGCTGCATCCAACAGTCAGAACAGAAGGCATCGGTGTCATTTCCGTTGTAATATGAGCGTATGTACTCATCACAAGCTCATTATCGTTCTCCAACGTAGCTAACTAATTTCCATGTGGTATCTGAAAGTCGTAGGAATGCCAGCCCCTTCTGACGAAATCGCCCCTTGAAAAGCATGGCTGCCGCTGGGAGTCGAACCCGTGACCTTAGCCTCTACCAGGTGGCTCACAGCCGGCCGGCCTGACGCGCGCCCCTGGCGGCAGGACCTGCGGACGGTGCCCACGTGGCGGCTGGACCTGTCGTCGCAGGGTCAGACGATCCGGCGTGTGCTGGCCAAGTCGCCTCACGAGCGCGTGCACAGCCAGGGTCGCGTGTTGGCCGACAGGAGCGTGCTGTACAAGTACGCCAACCCCAACCTGCTGATGGTGATCACCGACGCCGACGACCCCGTCCACAAACGTCAGTACCGCAGCCTGTGTTCACATACGTCAGTACCACAGTCTGTGTCCACAGACGTCATTACCACGGTCTGTGTCCACAGACGTCAGTACTGCAGCCTGTGTCCACATACGTCAGTACCGCAGCCTGTGTCCACAGACGTCAGTACCACAGCCTGTGTCCACAGATGTCTACCACAGCCTGTGTCCACAAACGCCAGTACCACAGCCTGTGTCTACAGACGTCAGTACCGCAGCCTGTGTCCACAGACGTCAATACCGCAGCCAGTGTCCACAGACGTCAGTACCACAGCCTGTGTCCACAGACGTCAGTACCGCAGCATGTGTCCACAGACGTCAGTACCGCAGCCTGTGTCCACAGACGTCAGTACC